CTCAAGATTGCACTTCATTCCATTTTCTACTCTGCAATATTTGTCGCATCTTTGAAAAAATTAAGAGTATAAAAATTACCCATCATTATCTATTTTATTTTAATCAAGGCACTGAGTGTTTCCAAGTGCACAATTCTAATAGCAAATAGATTTCTTTCCAACTTGAGTATGGCATGTAAATCCCTCTTTAATTCTGCATTAAGAATCACAACTAATTAGAATATAATTATTGTTTAATTGTTTTACCCTCCTTAATGAGTCTAGTCTCCATCATCGCATTCTTCATAGTAAGCCATTATATTGTCTTTTATGCATTCATTGAATTCAATATTCTAATTCAACTGATTAACTGAAGATTTTGCCTAAAGATGCTTAATAAATTAAATGTAAATACTTTTCTTTCATAGCATTTGAATTATTTCTCATTTTTTAAATGGATGCAATAATAATTTTCTTCAGTTACGCATTAGTTATCACAACTATATTAATATCGTAAGTTGATGTGAACATAAAAATTATTTGCAATAATTTAAATCTTACCCATCTCCTGAGATCTTATTCAAATCCAAACATAACTTTTCATTTAATAAGCAAGACTTCTCTATGAATTATTCATTGTTCTCATTCAAACTCAGTGAAAATCCATTTTCAATTTAACAAAGGTTATCACATCTTTATTGATTATTAATTGAAAAAATGTTACCCATCATTAGAATTTTCATTCTGATCATCGCACTCTTCTCCCCTTTCTATTAATCCGTTTCCACAAATGGGAAGCATTGCTTATTCTTCTGAGAAAGAGTATATTCTTGAGCAGATAGCTTTTTCATTTTCCTTTTTAAAACAAGTAAACCCTTTTTCTACCTCACAAAATTCATTGCACCTGTACAATATGTAAATTTAGGGTCAAAATCTTATTAAATGTAGTAGCTTATAATTCAATTTAAAACATTTACCCATCTCCAGCAAGATTGTTTCCGTCATCGCAAGCAAGGCTTTGCTAACCACAGTACAGTGAGCATTTTGACAATTTCCCAAAGGTCTTTGTGCATTAAAACCCATCTTGAATTCTGCAAAAATTGTCACAGCTATAGAAGGTAAGAGGTTTAAAAATTAAATAATACCCTTGATTTTGAGTAGATTCAGCTACCCAGTTATCACACTCCTCTCCAGGCTCTAATATTCCATTTGGATTGCATATATTTCAAGCAACTATCAAATAGATAAGTTCCAAGAATAGGAGAACTGATATTCTTGAATTAAGCAAAAGCTTGCTAGATTTGATCATTTAAATTTTTATTTTATGAGAAAAGTTTGATATTTAAAGTATTATCATCAATTTATAAATTCATCGATTTTTGAATAATTTATTAACATGGGGTTTTGGGGTTTTGGGG